TTAAATATAGCAAATGAATTTTCTTGACCTATTATGATTCATAAGAGAGAACATTGACCTTGCAGCCAGAATATTATCATTCAAGCTCTGGCTTTATAACTACTAGCCATGTGATCATTGACGGTACCCTGGTGGTACAATGGTTAAGTACTCAGCTACTAACCAAAAGGTCAGTGGTTTGAATCCACCAGCCATTCCACAGGAGACAGATGAGGTGGTCTGTCTCCATAAAAATTACATACAGCCTTGGAAACTCTACAGGGAAGCTCTACAGTGTCCTTTAGGGTCACTATAAATTGAAATTGACTTAATGGCAATGGGTTATGTGATCTTTAAAAAGACACTTGACTTCTTTACCATAAGATTTCTCAATAGTAGAGTTGAAATGTTAATAATCATCTTGTTTTTGATCTTACTGTTGTAGGGATTACACAAGAAAAAAAATATTAAAATATTTTATTGAATTCAAACCTATTTACAAATATGATGCTAGTCTTAACTCAAACCTCCCTCAATCTTCCTCATCTCACTCATTAAATGGAACTCAGTCCTTCCATTGGTTAAGACCAAAATTAATAAGTCATATTTGACACCTTATTTTCTTTTACACCCCACTTTCATTTATCAGCAAATCCTGTCAGTTCAGCTTCCAATATATATGCAGAATAGGATTGCCTCTCATCGCTGTGATCACTACTGCCCCAATCCAAGTGATTATAGTCTCTGACCTGGACTTCTGCAGTAGTGTTCTAACTGATCCCCTGGCCTCATTGTTTTGTTAGTTGCCATCCAGTCCTTCAACTCATGGCAACCAACAGAATGAAACGCTGCCCAATTCTGTAATCACTGGTATGCTAGGGTCCATCTTCATGACTGTTGGTATGCTCACGTCTGTTGTTATGTCTATTGTGTATTTTGAGTGCCTTCCACCCTGGAAGCCCAGCTTCAAGTACTATTTAGGACAGTTTTCTGTTGTGATCCATAAGGCTTTCATTGGCTGATTTTTGGAAATAGATCACCAGGCCTTTCTCCCTAATCTTAGTGTGGACACTTCACTGAAATATGTCCACCATGGATGACCTTGCTGGTATTTAAAAAACCAGTGGCATAGCTTCTAGTATCATAGCAATGAGCAAGCCACCACAGTATGACAAATGGACCAATGTGTGGTGGATTCTTTATAACAGCTATGTAAGAATAACTATATTCATTCATTATTGTTGGGAAATCTTAGTAATGTCTAGGATTTAAATTATCACAAGCAGAGTGAAAAGAGAATAAAGAATATGAAGAGAATCATATTTCACCAAGCTAAATAAATAAATAGATAAACCTGTTGTTATTGAGTCAATTCTAATTCATGGCAACCCATGTGTGTCAGAGTAGAACTGTGTTCCATAGGGTTTTCAGTGGCTGTGATCTTTCATAAATAGATTGCCAGATTATTCTTCTAAGATAACTTTGGGTAGATTTGAACTGCCAACCTTCTAGTTAATAGCTGAGGGTTTAACAATTTGCATCTCCCAGGGACTCCTTGTATTTTACAAAAGTCACTAAGGAATCAAGGCACTAATCCTCATATTTTCAGTGCCTTGTGAAACTTGATTTGAAGACCCAGTGAACGTTGGTAATCCCCACAGATTCTCATGAATATGAGACAGGCTTAAGAAACAAGAAAAGAATAAAAGCTTTTTTTCCTGAGTCCCTTACCCTTCATTCGTTATTTTTTTTAATCCCCTGCTTGTTATCATTTTAAGTCTGGACATTTGTTTTCACTTAAGTGTTATAAACTATAACTGACAGGAGTAAGGATTTCACACTTGGTGACATAGTGTTGGAGCACATACTGAGAGTCAAGAGTCCTGACTTCTAAGCCTGATACTGCCACTAACTATTGACTGAAATTGTTAAAATATTTTAATAATCTCCATGTCCTAAGGCAAAAATTATCTCCAACATCCCTCTTGGCTTTGTTTGAGGCCATTGTACGGTTGTATATCATCTATCTGACAAAACCTTGCTTGCTAAAACTGAAGAGGAATTAAAGTACTTACTGATAAAAAACAAAGACTACAGCTTGTGTAGATTACATTTCAACATAAAGAAAACAAAAATCCTCACAACTGAATGTATAAGCAACATCACAATAAACAGAGAAAATATTGAAATTGTCAGGATTTAATTTTACTTCGATCCACAATCAACACACAGGGAAGCAGCAGTCAGGAAATCAAGTAACGATGTATTGCATTGGGCAAACCTGTTGCAAAAGACCTCATTAAAGTGTTAAAAAGCAAAGAAGTCACTGTAAGGACGAAAGTGTTCCTGACCCAAACCAGGGTATTTTCAATCACTTCATATGCATGCAAAGCTGGACAATGAATGCAGAAGACTGAAAAAGGATTGATGAATTTGAATTACAGTGTTGGTGAAGCATACTGCCTGGACTGCCAGAAGAACAATCAGAAATGTATTGGAAGTACAATCAGAATGCTTCTTAGAAGGGAGGGTGGTGAAACTTCACCTCTTGTACTTTGGTCTTGTCAGGAGGGCCCAGTCCCTGGAGAAGGACATTGTGCTAGCTAAAGTTGTGTCTCAACTTGGCTGGGCCATGTTTGAATGGCTGGACAAGTGGGTGCAGTTATTCACCATGATGATATTATAATCACTTCCGTGGTAGAATCTGCTGTGAGCAACTAAGTAGTTGCCTTTGGGTGTGGCCTACTTCCAGTATGTATGGAGAAGCTTTGAGGAAGTTCTCTAGTTCTTTGGCATATTTGGATCCTGAATTTGGCCAAGTCTTCATCTCCAGTTCCTGAACTTGAACTAGTGGTCTGCTGTGTTGCCCAACAATCTTGGGATCATGTCATTTTACCTGTAGATGCCTCATTTAGGAGACGCCTCTAGCTCCAGTGATCCTGGAACAAGAAACATAACTGAAGCTCAAGGTTGAGGGGTCTTCACCCAGTACGTAAAGTCAGCACTCTGAATTTGGACTTGTAGCCTCCTAAACTGTAATAGCTGAGTGTTTAACAATTTGCATCTCCCAGGGACTCCTCATATTTTACAGTCACTAAGGAATAATAAATTCCTGTTTGTTAAAGTCATCCACTTGTGGCATTTCTGTTGTAGCAGCACTAGGGAACTATGAGATACATTATACCTGGTAAAGTAGAGAGTTAGAAAAAAAGAGGAACACCCTTAACAAGATGGATTGACACAGTGGCTGCAACAATGGGCTCAAGCATAGCAAGAAATGTGAGGATGGCACAGGATAGGTCAGTGTTTCATTCTGTTGTCCATAGGGTTGCTATGAGTCTGACCAACTCGACAACACATAATAACATCAGCAATATCATGTCTTTACATTAGATACTTAAAATCTTCTGAGAAAGTCTAATCCATAATTTATCCCAAAAATAAAAACAATAAATCAAATTGGACATAATAATGAACATCCTTAGCACTACATGTTGTCTTTTCTCACTGTAGGAAGCTCTGCCACCTGTTTGATAGTTACTGTACATCAGCTGTCCAGTGGGCAGGGGACTTCCTTGTGGATAAGCCCCTCTGCACTTCAGAGGAAATGCTTGAGCTAGGAACACACTTGAATTGTTGGTGCATGAGTCAGCTACCTTATAATTTCTTATCTTGAGAAAGAATTTAAAAATAGACATTTAAATTTTACACTCATCAGTCAAACTCCATAAGCAATAACATTTCTCTTTGAATAACTAAGAAAGTGAAGTATATTGGGACCATATTATGAAATTACCCATAAAATCCAAGATTTTGGCAAAAGGTATCTCTTCCTCAGTCATATAGTTACTTGGTGCTTCATTAGCACTTCCATCACAGCATTTTTCACAGGATTATGGATCGTGGTTGGTAAAATAGAGGGTCAGCAAAAGTTAGAGAAACTTTCAATGAGATAGATTGACCTAATAGCCAAAACAAAGGACTCAAACATACTAATGATCATGAAGATGTCACAGGACCAGGTAATGTTTCATTCTGTTATATATAAGGTCTACAAGAGTCAGAGTCAACTCAATGGCAACTAACTACAACAACAACATGAATACTAGATATATTTATGCTGTTGGCTATTTTTCTGAGTAGAAAATATACTATTAGAAACCCTATCTTATTAGACGTCTCACTTGATCTACCATAATGCTTTATGGACAATGAACACTAAGATTCAGGGAAGTTTGATAAGACATGAAAGATTTTATTTTTCCCCTTTTTATGATAATATTCAACGATCATTATGCAGTTACAGAATTTTATTTTTCATTTTATGTCTTGCCCCAGGAAACCCAAAGTTCTAGCAGAAATGGAAGTAGATCCTCTACTCCTGTCTCTAGTCAAGCAGATAATTAAATCCATGGTTCCCAAACTAGTTTGCATGTTGGATCAATCTAGGGAACTTAACACATGCCCCTATATCATCTTGAAATATGGTGATTGAATTAATCTACAGTGTGACCTAGGTTTAGAGACTTTTAAAAGATCTCTTGGTGATTCTCATGTGCAGAGAAGTTTGAGAACCATTAATCTAAAGAATTCCATAAGATTCTTTGAGGGCAGATTTTTATCACTTTCTGTTTACATATATCCCATTTTGTGCCATAAAGAACAGAATGTGCTTTGTAAAGGTAACAGTATTTATTTGATAAAGATGGTGGTGTTTGCATAAATCTTTAAATAAGATTTATATAAATTATAAATATAAAGGCAAGTTGCTAACATCATCCTCAATTTGAGTGAAATTAAGATGTATACAATATGATATTCTAATTGTAATTTTATTTTGTCTTAAGAAAATTAGTTTTAAAGCCAATTTTAAACTAGTCCCTTAAATGCATTAAGACTTTGTATTAGGATAAGATAAGATTTTTAGAGACTCTCTATTTACCCATTTGTTAAGTGTTTACTTATTTTTCATCTCTCTTTCTCTCTCTGTTTCTCTCTTCTATGGACCTTCCTGTTTCCAGTAAGGGTTACACAGATGTTGTGAGGATCCCAGAAGGGGCAACCCACATAAAAGTCCGACAGTTCAAAGCCAAAGACCAAACCAGATTCACTGCCTACTTAGCCCTGAAAAAGAAAAATGGTGAGTATCTTATCAATGGAAAATACATGATCTCCACTTCAGAAACGATCATTGACATCAATGGAACCGTCATGAATTACAGCGGTTGGAGCCAAAGGGATGACTTCTTGCATGGTATGGGCTATTCGGCCACAAAAGAAATTCTAATTGTGCAGATTCTTGCAACAGACCCAACTAAAGCATTAGATGTCCGATACAGTTTTTTTGTTCCCAAGAAGTCGACACAAAAAGTCAACTCTGTCACTAGCCATGGCAGCAATAAAGTGGGGTCGCACACATCACAGCTGCAATGGGTGACAGGCCCATGGCTCGCCTGTTCTAGAACCTGTGACACCGGCTGGCACACCAGGACGGTGCAGTGCCAGGACAGAAACCGAAAGCTAGCCAAGGGATGTCTTCTCTCTCAGAGGCCTTCTGCATTTAAGCAATGTTTGCTAAAGAAATGTTAGCCTGTGGTTCTGAGCTTGTGCACAAAGATAACTGGATAATAGTCATCACTGATACTGCCATGATGAACAAGAGGTCTACCTAAAGCACAGAAAGTCATGCTTCAGTGTCATTGTCAACAGGAGTCGAGTTATGGGCAGAATCTGCTCCTTGAGGCCAACTGAGGATGGACACTGCTTCATGTGACAATGGTGACCTTGGCATAAAATAAGACTTGGGAGTTATTGAATCCCCTGGGTCTACCAATACAAAGGAAAAAACACACTGATGAATGTAGAATCGGGATATTTGAAGATGGCAGAACAGTGTCCCCCTTGTCACCTACCTCTTACAGAATGTCTTTAAAGACATCATGATCATTTTCACCCTTGATACACAGTAGCTTCTTTTTACTGTTTGTAAATACATTCTCCCTTGGCATGTCACTTTATATCACTTGGTTCTATTAAAAAATTATATTTCTATAAAAAAGTGTTTGACCAAAGTAGGTCTGCAGCTATTTCAACTCCTTGCAGTTTCCAGAAAGAGCTGTGGATGTTTTACTGGAAATTAAGAACTTGCTGCTGTTTTAATAAGATTCAGTATACTTTCTGACTACAGGAGATACACTTCTAGTCAAACATCATTTTTGACAGCAAGCATCTTCTGAGAAATTCTTAAAAGAAAAAGGGTCTCAGTGTATCTAGTCATTTAAATATGTACACGGGCCCGTTTATTTAAACCCATTGACTGCCTGTATTTTTTTCAGGCAGACAGCCAAACTAATGCATAATTAGGATATAGACATATTGTTAACTTGTGTGTATGTTTTCAGTACTCAAGAGTATACAAATTAGTTTTCTTGTGTTAGAATTTAAAAGTAAGAAAACAACAACATATTTCACTCTGTTTTCAATTTCTGTTTTCACAACTGCTTCCTCTTTCCATGGATCCCATCTGGTATCTCACAATGTGTAACATACATAAAAAACACACAGCAAAGAGTTCTCTGTCACCTTCAGCACCTTCAACACTGGTATACCTCTTACCAGCAAGCCTTTAAAATGTGTTTTGTTTTCGCTTGTTTTGCTCAAGGGCTCTGTACAATATTTTGTACTTTTTGTTGACTTAGTTTAATAGGAATATTAAAAGTCACTTGGCAGTCAGCCATATCTAGAACTGGTTATTACTAATATCACTAAGACTGTTTCCACACTACAGGCAATAATTCCTTTAAAAAGATTTTTTAAAAATAAGGTACATTGATATCATACTAAAATTTTTTTCCCAATTGGAAAACATTTGGTTGTACCACTAGCTGTCTGAGTGATGGAATGTGATGATTTTCCAGAACTTTGTTACTCTTATTTCCATAGCCTGATTAGGTAAGCTGTAAGTTTGAATAGACTTTGAACATTTTTTATAATCATCTGCATAAATTCTCTATTTAGAGAGTAAACTGCACCCTTTCATCCTATATTTCAGAAAAATCTAAGGTGTTTCATTTGGGATTTCTTTTTCCTTATGAAATATCACAAAACCAATTATTTTTATAAGATTTTATAATAATCATACCAAAGGTGCCTACTGTTAAAGATTTGCCTATAAGAATGTCACAGAATGATTGTTTTAGTTTTCCATTAAGCTCTGATAGTTTGTTCTTATTATAAGATGTTTTAATATGAAGAAAATATGTCATTGATCTTTCTATATCACATTTATTTTAGTGAGCCCAGAGAATGGGTGTCTCACTATTTTAAGTATTTTTTTAAGATACTATTTTGTAAAATGAATAATTGTTTTACAGAACTCATAGTCATGCTTTAGATTTTCACCAATTGACTTTTCATAAACATGGTCATTTATTCCTTAATAAATTATCAGTTAGTGTAATGAATCCCATCTGAGGTTAAAACCTACAGTTGATGGGAAGTCACCAGACAGCAAGGGTAGGGAGCAAAACAAGTCAATTCAGTCAAAACAAAACAAACTAAACAAATGAATTACCCCAGCCATTTGGCTATACAAAGGGTATTAATAGAGAGATCATTATTTACTTTTTCCTATTTTGAAAATAATCCTAATCAGGTAATTCAAACGTGACAAAAATATCTTTTGTGGTTGTATTCATAACAAACTTAAAAGAGTATTTAGAGAGTAAAAATTATTATATCTTTCCCTACTTTTCTATACTGTATTCACAGATTTCTAAAATTATTTATCAATGATTCATCCCCCCCCCAAAAAAAAAGTGGTGCATTTACACTTCTCATTGAAACAATCCTGGAGAGCTTAGAACAATAAACCACTATTCTATGCTTTTAAGGAATTCTCTCTGATTTTTTTTCTTTATGAATATCAATAGATTGACTGTAGAATGTATGGTTAACCTCCTGAGAAAAATTATGTAGACTGACAACTGAAATTCAGAGAAATAGAAAGTATTCAATAGATACAAAAAAAAGATGAGCAAAGGAAGAATTATCTATAACTCAATCTAATCCAGCTCAGTTTGACTTTGGACTGGCTTTTACCTTCCCATGTTTTTTTTTTTTTT